TTAAAGCCCTGAGAGGAACTTTGGAGACATTCCCTTGACTTTAATGAATTCCTCAACGTCTTTGGAAGCTTTGATCCTTCCTCCGGTTTGACATATGACAAAGAACATTAACTTCATCGATTCGTCAACCAATATTTGATCATTTGTCCAAATTAGTGACTTTCGATGAAAGACGCTTCAAAGGACCCAAAAAACATGAAGAACAATACAGAGAGAGTCTAGAGACTTACCCCTTTACTTGAATCCTCGATGTAACTTCGGTGTCTCAAATGAACTGACCATGGCTCCTATTTATAGGGATGGGTGACTTTGTCTTCCTTTTTTAATGATGCCACGTGACGCGTTTTGATTTGCCAATAGGAAGATTTTATAATCTTTCCTTTTCCATCAGATGCTCTTTTCCATTCTTGACGGATTTGATTGTGCACTTTCCTTTATCGCCAAGATCTTTATATCATTGCCTTTTTTCGGAAAATATTAATTTATATACTTCCTTTATTGACAAGATTAATTTATTTTGCTTCCAAATTTATTATGACTCTATTTATGCACGTAATATTCGTACGATATCTTCTATTTTAAGCAGATTTTTGCATTAATGGTTGATATTTATTGTACAAAAATTAACATATGTGCATAATTAAATACCATATATTTATTTTATTGAAATTTTATTTTCTTTTAAAATATATGATATTTAATTGATTTTAGACATATATTTTTAGTGTCTACAGCAACTAATTACGAATACTTCTTGATAATCAAGCAACAAAAACCACATACTTAAGAAAAATAAAGATAAAAAGATAAACCTAAAAACTTTGTCATTCTGGTCGAACTATATGTATCTAACCAATAATCCCAACATTTGAAAAAGTAACAAATTACAAACACTTCTAAAAATTTTTTGATTGATCGGGATCGCGTTTTTCCGAACATACGCAATATTGGACGAAAATCTGATAATAATTTTTGTTAGTGTGATTTTGGCTTAATATATATAGATATACAAAACCCTAATTATATATATATATTTTATTATTTATTATCTCGATAAATCTGGATTTTGTTAAATTAGTTGTTATCTTAACAAATTTTAACTAATTATCCAAACTTATTAAAAAGGTATATGGTATAAACTAGAGAAAAAGAAATAACAATAAAAAATAAACAAAGAAAAAACGAAATAAGAGAAACGAAGAACATATAAAATTAAAATTACAAATTTTTTTTCCAACATCTCATTGGTTCTCTTCCGACACTCACTCCTAAATTTTATTTTTTAATATCGCATTTTTTTTTTCATATTTTATTTATAAATATAATTTTGTTATTGTTCCTCGTATTTTTACTAAGGGATTATGTTTTTCTATTTATATATATATAGTAAATTCTAACAATGAAATTTTTTTGATTAATTTTTAAAATTTCAAGCTTGATTATACATAAATTAACTATCTTATTTATTGATTCTATTATTTTATTGTTACGTATTATTTTTAGTTTCTACTAATCCATTCTAATATTTTTATTGTGATACAAAAAACATAATTAAAAAAAAAATAGTTGAGAAGCAAATAAAGAATACAATATATGTATTTTTAATTATTTATTGTATTTTTTTTACTAATTAATTTTTTATTTTAATTGTATATGTTATTTTTTAAAATTGATTTGGTTTTTAGTATAATATTTTAATGAATCTTTCAATTTTATAGATTATGTTTAAATTTTGAGTTTTTTTATATGAAAGAATATTTGGAAAATCCATATAGTAAAATTAAAATTATGATAAATTTAAAAAAAAATTATTTTTATTATAGTAATTCTATTTTTATTGTATATATATTTTTTTAATTATCTAGTTCGTTATTTTTTTTATAAATTATTTTTTTTTAAAATTTTTATTGTGTATAATATTTTTTAAATTGATTTGATTCGAATAATATATTCTCTCTATCTCAGCTAGATTGTTCTATTTAACTTAGACACATAGTTTTAGTATTATGTAATTAGTAAATAATTAGAAAGTGTATTAGTGAAAATAATTATGATTTACTAAAAATAATTATAGATTAACATAATGATGACTAAATAGTTTAATTAAAAAAAAATTATAAATCATGAATTTTAAAATACGAAATGTATAATTATATTTTCAAAGAAGAAAATGTCAAATTATGTGGTACGGACGAAAATGGAAATATAAGACAAATTAAGTGAGACATATGAATATTATATATATAACTATAAATATTACTCCCTCCGTCCCAGCTAATTTGTCTACTTTAACTGGGTATTGAGTTTTAGGCATTATATAATTAGTAAGTGATCAAAAGTTTATTAGTAAAATAATTAAATTAAAATATAATTTAATATGAAAATAACCCGTGCATAACACCGGTTATAAGCTAGTTATATTATATTTTTAATATTGTAGATTATTTGGAGAAAGCATAGAGAAAATTATGGTAAATTTTAATATATACATAATTTATTTTTATTGTATTATTTTCATTCTTATTATGTATATATTTTTGAATTATATATTGTGTTATTTTTATTTTCTACTAATCAATTTTTTTATTCATTCTTATTTAATATGTATTTTTTGATTGATTTGATTTTGCATATTATATTAAAATATTTATCCCCTAATTTTGTAGATTACATTTAAATTTCGAGTATTTTATTTATAAAATATTAGAGAAATTCATATCGAAAATTAGAATAAATTGTAGTAATTTATAAAAATTCTATTTTTATTTTAGTATTTTCAATTCTTATTTTGTATGCATTTTTTATTTGGTTTTTGTTATTTTTATAATTTACTAATCAATTCTTATTTATTCTTATTTTATATTTATTTTTTCTAATTAATATTGTTTCGAATATTACTATTCTAATACGTTTTTTGTTTTCCAAAAATTGAAATTATATTTAAATTTCGAGTATTTTATTTTTTTGTTTTCCAAAAATTTACTTAATATTATTTGTTTTTTGTTTTTCTTTCGTTACTATATATATTATTTAGTATATTTTTTTTAACATTATTTTCAAATGCAGACTAACAACCATATATAAATGACGACAAATATTAATAATTTCTCTTATTTCTCATTGATAGGTACAAACTTCTTTTAAATTAATTTTGATTTTTAATTAATAGTGATTTTGAATAATTATTTTTTATATCTATTATGTTTGAGTTTAAATTGAAATATATATATTTATGAAATTTTGATTCGCTTACTTAATATTATTTATTTCGTTTAGTTACCTTATTTTTTATTCATAGTTTATTTTTTATATAAATTAATTAGAAATTTTGATATTTAAGTTTGTTTTATATTTTAAATTATAAATTTTATTTTGATAATAAAACTTTGTAGGAAGATAGCATAATTACCCGTGCATATCACGCGTAATAAGCCAGTACGTATATTTGAGAATGGTATAGACTTCACCATTCTCAATTTCTACCCCGAATAATTTTTAAATTTTTTTTTAATTAAAAATATATATTACTAGTGTGTAACCCGTAGAATGCATGAATTATTTTTATATTAAATTAGTATATTGATTTAAAAGTTTTTATAAATAATATTTATAAAAATATATATATAAATGTATGTAACTCTTTTTTTATCCGTATTTTTAAAAACAAAATAAATTTCTAAAATCGAACAATTTATAGAATTAAAAGTATGTATATATATAGATGTACGAAACTCTAATTTTATCCTTATTTTTGTTATTTATTATCTTTATAAATTCTAATTTTATTAGATTATTTTTTATTCTAATAAATTTTAATTAATTATCTAAACTCAATATTTAAAATATTAAAATAAAATTCCAAAATTACGTGAGTGCAGAAATTGTATTGTCTTGTCAAATATATATATATATGATATATGATATGATGATATACATTTCATATATTTTAAGTGAGTTTATTATTATTATTATTATTATTATTATTATTATTATTATTGAATGGTGGGTTGTATGGGATATTTTTTGAAAATAAACAATATCATATTTTTTCATAGAATTGAGAAGATAGTATAATCATTATAATAATAAATTGAAAAAAAAAATTCAAAATAAATTAAAGACTGCTCTTTCTATTCTTTTAGAGTTTGTTGATTTAATTAGTTATAATAATAATAATAATAATAATAATAATATTATGTCACCCTGCACTTTTCTATAATATATATATACACTACAAGAAAATAGCATTTTAGAGACGGAAAAACTCCGTTTCAAAATCTATTTTTTCCGTTACTAATGACATTAGAGATGGAATTAGAAACAAAATAAATTCCCTCTGCAAAGTTCTCGTAGCTAACACTATTTGTTCCTAATTCCGTCCCTAAATTAGATATGGAATTAGGAACGAAATTAAAGACGAAATTAAGGACGGAATTTTCCATGCCTAACCTAAACCAAAATGTGGTCATAAAGTCAATGACGGAAATTTCCATCGCGAATTCCGTCCCTAATTTAAGGACAGAATTAAAGATAAAATTAAGAATGAAATTAGGGACGAAAATTTCCATTACTACACAAACTACAAATTTCGTGCCCAAAATAGTGACGAAAACATTTCGTCACTATTTCTGTCCCTAATTTCGGGATGGAAATTTAGGACGGACAAAATTCGTCACAAATTCCGTCCCTAATTTTACACAATTTTTCATTGCACGATTTACCGATGTCTTTTCCAACCAGTACACGAATATGAAATCAAATTTCAAATCACAATCGAATAACCGTACTACAACCTGTATATAAGTACGAAACGAAATTTCAAACCACAATCAAACAACCAAACTGAATCAACTAAAAATCCATAATGAACGTCCAAAATATCTAAAAAATGTTTCAGTTATAGAAATTTGAAATATTCCAACATCATGTATGGTCCAAAACATATAATCCAGTCATAATATCATCAATACTAAATATTAATCATGCGGAAAACATAAATGTCAACAAACCGGAGGCGCACTAGAGTCCCCATCGTCGTTGCGCTTGTCCAAGCGAGCCTTGATCATCTTGAGCTGCTCAATGATGGTCATGTGATTTTTCTCGAGATTCTCCAAACGTTGGGCGTAACTCGGACCACTCGGGATATGCCCGTCGCTGGAATCGAAAACCTCCTCTATTGGCACCGTCGCTGCAAGTGATCCAAGCCCATAAATTCTTTTCTTGTTATCCCGGTGGACTAAGGAAAGAAGTGCCTCATCGCGGCTATATTCTGTATCACCGAGCTGAGACATTCCTTCCTCGATCGCAGTCATACCTTCCTGAAAGCAATGAATATAAAAAATAAATTTAGTAAAAATTGATAGTCATAAAACATTAATACTATATATAACATAAGGCATACCTTTATACGATTTGCCTTGGTGCTGCAATACTCACTACCATTATGGTGCTTTGTATGCGTCCACTCGTAGGTCCCCCATGGACCAAGACCCTACAATCATTTCTTATAATTGTATATAAGAACATATGTTTGTAGTCTTTCAAATTAATTGCTATATTTTAATAAATCTTACCATTTTCTGCGAGGTCTCCATGAACGATCGGGATCCACCGGTGTGTGTGGACTCTGCATCAGCATTAGAATTTCCACCCCGTCGGTTTGCTTTTGCTATTTTTGACTTCTTTACGGCATCCTTGGATTTCCAATGCTCCCTCCAATGCTCCAAGACATTTGCGGGAATGGCCGAGGTAACCTTCTCGTCATTGCTGTTCCGGACCTCATGCACCCATTTGTTGTAAAGCTCACAGGCCTTCTTGTTGTAGATGCGACGGACTTTAACCTCGTTTCTCGGCTTCCACTTAATGTGTTTCTGCAAGCCAAAGCATCATCGGTTACTTATAAACTCTCTTAGTAAAATTGTTGTACACTTATAACTATTGTATGTGATATTTGATTTTATAAACTTACCTTCATCTCAACTTCGTACCACTGTTTTGTTATCAAAGGGACACGTTTCCAAATGATACCCTCTAGGGTGGATTCTGACTTGAATATAGGCCGGAAGTGTCCCGATGCAGAACTAGGCCAAAACACGCTGTATGTAATCGTGGGTTAGGTGCAAAATATTTAACATTACGACAATAAATCTATATTCGAGTAAATCGAAGACATACCTGCCATCCGGGCGAACCGTTATCTCAATACGGCCATCGGCCACGTCCTCATCATCGTTTGCCCCTACCCTGGAATTTGAAGTCCCAGGTGCTGCCCTAGATCCACCTAGTCTCATTCTCAAATTTCTTAGTTCATCGACACTAATAAATTAGAAATCGAAAAATAAACAGGTTCATGCTAACCTAAAGTTTCACTTTGCGTAGTCCTAGATGACGAACCAATAGTGGTACCTACAGTAAACATAAATTATTCAGTAATATATAAAATTCTAATACAATTAAGTAACACTAAATTTAGATTGAATATACATACCTCTTGTTGTCCTTACCTCGTCAACCGCACCCTGGCCTATCGGATCCAATGTCTGCTGATCATCCTCTCCCGTTTGTGGCAACAAACGAAATGAACGGGCAAGCTGACGAATACGCTGCTGTCGTAACCTCTCATTCTCGGATTGAGACATTTCTGCATTGAGATATACATTAAGTTATATTATAATACAACATAAGTGAGTTTATATATTAACGCTCGATCACCTATTCATTGGATACGTCATCATCGGAACTAGATGATGGATGTTGATTTTGTTCTGAATCAGATGAGCTCAAAAAGAAAATTTCTTCCTCAATTGCGTCGGATTCGTCTGAATCATCAATCGGAATACCATTCCCGTCATCTGTTGAGGCCAAATACAATTGTTCCCCCTCGGTGGGTTGTTCAATACTGCAAGTATCGACCATTACATCTTGGTAGATGGCTAGTTTTGAGCTATTTTCAGCAATTTCACCACCCACATCGATCCAACCTCGCGGTTTAATACGAAAAACTGCCAACCAATCAACTATATCCCTCCTCATACTTGAAAATGGAAGATAAAACACTTGTGTTGCTTGCATCGCAAGTATGAATGGTTCGTATGTTTGAAGTCTTTTCTTTTTATTGACTTCGACCATATTGTATTTCTCATGTTTTTTAGTTCCAACCCCTGGTGTTGGATCATACCAATCACAATTGAAAAAGACACAACGCTTGATCGGTAGTGCTGGAAACTCAACCTCTAAAATCTCGTTGATATGTCCGTAGTACTCTAGACCATCGCAATCCAAACACACTCCACTATTATAGGAGACCTTCTTAGTACCATATTTTTCAGTGTGAAAACGGTAGCCATTGATGAAGCACTTATTATGTCTAGTCACCTCCACTAACGGACTATGCGCAATGTCCTTATATACTTTCGGTATGTTATCTTGTTCCATGACCTACGATGTTAGTGAAAATAATTATCACGAATATTTGAAAATATCTTAATTTTCTCAAAACTTTTGTAAACACGCACATATTTGGCGAACCAGGAGGTGAAACGTGTTTGAAGTTGTGAAGCAACTTCGAAGTCAGAAATTGAGGGATGTTCTCGCCTTAACACTTCCTCAAACAACCTACATAAATAGATCGATAAAATTGGCTAAGCCACCCATTCTTTTAGTCAAGTGGCAAATCAAACCTACATAGAAAAACTTACGAAATAAATGCATCACATTCAGGAACGTTAAGTAGAAAGTAAGTTTGCATCGCCTGTTTCTCAACTGGGAGCAGGTACCGCCTTTTCGGCTTTCCTCCTAATCGATAAGGTTGTGAAAACACATTTATTCCAACATTTGGGCCAGACCTTACTCCTGCATCGTCTTGTCTCGGCACATTCCTCCCACGTGTGAAAACGTGTTGTTCGAAATAATGTGAACAGAAAAAACTTGCCTCCCTAACAAGAAAAGCATTGACGATTGACCCCTCCACTTGTGCTTTATTTGCAATCATTTTCTTTAAACGACGCAAAAACCTAAAATGAAATTAACATATTTCTATGCCTTAATAATCACACAATACGGAAGGCTACTTTTGAAATTAGGAATAAGTACTAAATAGTTACCTCTCAAAAGGGTACATCCAGCGAAATTGAACTGGTCCAGCTATTTTTGCCTCAAAAGGCAAGTGAACTGGTAGATGTTCCATACTGTTAAAAAAGCCAGGTACGAATATTGTCTCAAGCTTACAAAGAATCACTGGAATCTCAGCTTCTAATCGCTCCATGTCACTAGAGGATATAACCTTTGATGTCAAACGCCTGAAGAAATTGCTCAACTCTGTTATCGGTTCCTAAATCTTCTTTGGCAACAGATCTCGAAGCCCAATCGGAAGCAAGAGTTGCATGAAAACATGGCAATCATGACTTTTCATCCCAAACATCTGGTATTTAGCCATGTTGACACATCGTCCCACATTGGGATTCGCCCCACCAGGCACAACCAACGACAAAAATAGATATTCCTCTTTGAGACACATATTTGGCGGGAGATTATACGGTGTAACAACAACAGGCCAACAAGAGTATTGTCGTCCTGATTGACCGAACGGTTGAAATCCGTCGGTGCAGAGGCCCAACCGAATATTCCTTGGCTCGCATCCAAAGGAAGGGTACTTAGCATCCAACTCCTTCCACGTTGTTGAGTCACAAGGGTGACAAATGTCATCGGTATTCGCATGTCGATGGTCTGCATGCCACCGCATATGTGATGCGGTCTGAGATGAAACGTAAAGCCGTTTAAGCCTCGGAGTGATTGGGAGATAGAACATATATCGAATGGCCACCGCTTTTCCATTTGTTTCTTTATACCGTGGTTTTCCACAAATCTTACAGTGGTTAAGTTCAGCATCTTGCTTCCAATATAGCATGCAACCAAACTGACAACAGTCAATTTTCTCACATGGTAAACCTAAACCTTCGATCAACTTTTTTGTTTCGTAGAAGTTTTTTACAAAGTGGTTGCCCTCCGGCATCACATCATGCATAAGCTGGCACTGGACGTCATACCACCGCTCAGGCAAGTTAAAATCAGCCTTAATGTTCAACATTCTTGACACAGCAGATAGTAGAGTTGCTTTCCTACAGCCAGGCCACAACTCCTCATCAGCAGCTTGAAGGAGATCATACAACTTTCTATCTTCAGGGTTAGGCTCTTCATCGTGCACTACACGTGACTCAAATACGGGCCCTCCGGCGTCCATCACCATTTGAGTATAGTCTCCTATCCTTAGATCGATAGTATGTTCAAAAGTGGATGGCTCAAAATGTTGTGAGCTACCACTTCCATCATGTTTTTCACCGTGACATGTCCACCTATCATACTTGGGTACAAATCCTTTACGGTACAAATGATACTTCACATCATCCACTGATAAGAACGTCGTATTTTTACAGCGTTTGCATGGACACCGTATATTATTGTTGATCTTATAGACCTCTGGATTATTGATACAGTAATTCAGAAAGTCCTCGACACCACTAATAAATTCTTTATTTAAAATACCATTTCGCATCCTATTATACATCCATTCCCTCCCTGGGATTGTCATGTCTAATAAATTCGTCACTGAAAGGGATACATCAACAACAATAAAATTTATGTTAGTTCTACAATTTTCAACTGATGAACACAATTCAATATAACTTTGAGATTATAGGTACAATAGGGCCAATTTAGTTATCAACATGTAAAATGTGCATATTCCTAATGAATGAGTTAATAAATTAATTGATATTCAATGATCCACCTTCAAATATGTAGTCATGAGATAATTTGAATAATAATCTACTTAACTAAAGAAGGTAGCTTCAATCAATTATTTAATTTGCTATTGAAGCTGCAGAAGAATTGATTGGCAGAAAAAGTACTGATCCTATTTTACATCTTAAGAATTATTTTCGACAAATGGTACACCCAACTTTTGTTTTCCATTCCTCATTTCACAAATAAATAGCAATTGAAGTGAAAGTACACAAATTTCACAATATATATATATAAATATATATCTAAATATGTGTATATAAAATTAATCAAAACATGGCTTAATATAAAGTTGGATAACAAAACAACTTTATACAAATCGAAGTAGAATGTAAAAATTATATAATTTCATGAAGAAGAAGAAGATGATATTTGATATTCTTGGATCAGATTTAATCATAGGAACTTTACTACATTAAAACATGGATCGATCTGCCACTCAAATACAAAAATACAAACTTAGTTCGAAGAATTAAGAAAATCATAAAAACCCCAATTCCAAGCCAATAATAATAACATCAAGACCATCAACAATCTGAATATCAAAGGCTTAGGCATTCTGGAGCTTTGCTGAAAAGAGGCTAAAAATAAAGTATTCTCTTAAGATTTATAATGTCATTATCAAGAGATTAGTAACAGTTACTTCAAGAGGTGGTTAGTAATATATATATATATATATATAGATAAATATATATAGCTTCTAGCTAATTAATTAGTGTGGCACATGCATGAGCTTCACTGGCAAAACCCAAAAGTACAGGGGTTAAGATGCAAATCTCAATAATAATATATATTTTTTTTGAAAAAGAAAAGTAAAATGCAGGAGGTACATAAGATGGATGATGAGTTCTGTATTTGTCATATGGCATCATCTAATTACTGGTTTGGTTTGTTCTTATTGGATCACTGAATTGGAATCAAATTCATTAAATGCAATTGCAGTGAGAGGGAAGGTTGATTCCAGCTTTACTTTAATACAGGCAAACCAAAACTCAAACCATGAACATATGTATATACATGTAAACCAGAGTAAGGGCAACCGAGTCTAACATGCTGCAAAGACATGGTGGTATATTATTCAATTAATAAACGGTAGCATCTTTTAGCCCAAGAACAGTCGAGATGAGCCCGTAGGTAAGTATGAGTTTTCATTCAGTTAGTTATCTTTGTTGCAATGTGTGTTTATTTCTATGCCAACTTTGTATCGATCGAGTAGAAAACCGAAGGATAGATCATAGATGCATGTATGTACATTGTGCATTTTGTGTTAAATGAGTTCGGTAGCTTTCTTCTAAATACATCTATCTATATATATATATATTCCTAAATTGAATTATAAATGTCATGCATCAAGTACGTATTTAAATATTGTGTATTTGTTTGTTAGTATTTGACATTACAAATATATATTTATGTAGTGTGTTTCAATTATAACTAATTGCGGTGTAATATAATGTGCATAAAATGTATTATACTGAATAAAGTTCTTGCA